AATTTACCACTCAAGGACTGACTCCTGCCTAGAGGGGACCACATGCTGTTACCCTGACCACCCCCACAGCAGCCAAGGTCGATGGAATCCCGACACGGCTTCAGGCAGCACAGGCAGAAAGATAAAACTTTCACATGCGCCAGACTATGAATTCTCTTTATAGGACTTAGTAAATGGAGCCTCAAAGCTGAGTAAGTTAACGATGTTAACAACCCCCAAGAGTCAATGATTTGACTCATTTACATAAAACCAGTGGGGAACGAAGCATTGTAACCTCCATCTTGAATAAAAAACTGCTGTTTAAAATTCTCTGCTATTGGTAGATAATCCCTTGTCCTGCAAACTCTGTCACTTTAAGACAGTCTCTTATTCTATAAAATGACTTTGTTTTTAGTTTAAATAAAATAAAAAGATAAACTAAACTGTCTGATCTTTTAAGCTAGTCATCCAATGTAATAGACTAATACTGATAATAATTCCCATATTCTTATGCCAAATACTAACTCATTATGTATTCAAGGTTACAAATGTCTGTAACAATAACTCACTGAAAATTCTTTGTAATATCTGCAAACAAAGAGGCTCAAAAAGTATAATACGGAAAACTTCCTGTATGTGTTGCTCAGAGATTTGGAAGACACCTCCCTCTGGGCCACGAGAAATAAGCCAATTAAGGCATCTTGTATCTCATTCACTGATTTATGAAACAACATTATCAATAAATTAGTGTTGGGTGAATGAAGATCTACTTGTATTTGTTGTGCTTTTGTTGGTATTGGCTTCATTATAATTCTTTCTAAAATGTAACTTTCCCCTCTTTAAAATGGGGGTTGTTTTGAACAATGTACATTAAGTATAAAGTCAAGGAAGGAGAAGACATTTCTGTAAGTGTAGAGTCGTCATCTTTCTTGTTGGAGCTATGGTGGGGTAGGTGGCAAATGATTGCCCTCTTTCCCTTCTGATATTAGGACCTAGGAGTCAGGCAGATGGAGGTGAAATGACTAGCTTGGTTACTAACATGTCATAATGAATTGGAGGATGAGTTCAGATGTGCGGCCACATTGGTCTTTGGAACACAATACAAGAGAAAAAAATTTTTAAAAATTGTATACTTGGAGAGAACCAAGATGGCGGCATAGGTAAACACCGGAAATTGCTGCCTCCCACAACAAATTCAAAAATACAACTAAAAGACAAAACGGACATCATCCAGAACCACAGGAAGGCTGGCTGAGTGGAAATTCTACAACTAGAAGGAAAGAGAAAAGCACACTGAGACTCAGAGGAGGTGCGGAAGTGCAGAGGTACGGAGGTGCACGCGGCAAGGGTTGGCAACTGAGGACCCGGCTGTCTTTTTTTTTTTAATATATTTTATTGATTTTTTACAGAGAGGAAGGGAGAGAGATAGAGAGTTAGAAACATCGATGAGAGAGAAACATCGATCAGCTGCCTCCTGCACATCTCCTACTGGGGATATGCCCGCAACCCAGGTACATGCCCTTGACCGGAATCGAACCTGGGACCTTTCAGTCCGCAGGCCGACGCTCTATCCACTGAGCCAAACCGGTTTTGGCCCGGCTGTCTTTTTGAATCGGGAGGGAGTCACAAGCCCCCAACTGCACTGAACTCCAGTTCTGGGTGAGCCTCTGGGGACCTAGACTCATACGGAGAAACTGGACTGTCTGGCAGCGGGCAGAACTTGGAACTCGAGGGCGGCTTTCTCTCAAAGGTGCTTGCAGCGATTACCTGGACACTGAGACGCGGGGCCCCTTAGGGCAGGGCTGAGGATCAACCATAGCTGCTTGCTCAGCCCTGTTCATTCCCTGAGACCCCGCCCCACCCAAGCTGTGGCAGAAGTTTTTGCATATGAATGCCCTGGCCCTTTGCAATCTGAAAATTACCTAACAAACTGCAGCTGGGCCAGACAGACCTGGAACTTCCAAGAGAAGGCCCAAGGCCCCACAGCAGCTTGCATTGCTTCACAGCTGGGCCTCATTTGGGCACCTTCAAACCCCAAACAAGGAAGGGAAATCTGCAGATCTCTTCGTAGCTCCTGCTGGGTAGCCTCAGGCAGAGGCTAAATTAGCACCTCCTTAGAGATCCAAGTGCCAGTGTACCCAGTGGTCAGAGTGGGACCATCCAGATTACAACTCCTCAAATCCATAAGGGACACACTCAGGGGGCAGACTCAGTGAGCACCAAAGCTCCACTGAAGCAAGTCTTGCCTCATAAGGGTGTCTTCAGCAAAGAAGTTCTCCCACCATAGACACAGCTGATTCTCACAGCCAATTGGCCTGGAGGTCAATTCCTCCCAGTGATACCTACAACAATCAAGGCTTAACTACAACAAGACTGTGCACACAGCCCACAAAGGGGTGAGTGTTTGCAATAAAAAAAGTCCTGTGTTCTGGGTTTATAGAATAAATGCAAAGACAAAACAATGAAACTGCTCTTTGGTCTCTCCCCAGCACTGTGCTGCTTGGGCCTCCTTTCATGGGGCAGCCTTTTGGGGCTTTTGTCTTTGGTCCAGTTTCCCTGGCAGCCACCTGTCCTGTGGCTTTTCCTTACACAGTTGGGTGTTACCCACGTCATGAAGGGACGCAGCTTTGGTAAGCAACACAGGTTTCTCCTCACCCTCTGGGCCCACTGGCTGGCAGTCCTTCTCAAGCCCACTTCCCAGTTCTTGCCGTCCTCTAGGCGTCCTCTGCCCTTCCTTGTTGTACACTGTCTGCTCAGCTGCATGTAATTGTTAATACCAGGCGGATGTTCTTCAATTTAATTGTATTTCCAGTCTGGCTCAGGACGAGATGCACAAACCTGTGCCTATTCGACCACCTTTTATTTTATTTTAATTTTTTTTTACCACTTTCTGATCTTTGCTGTTAAAAACAGCCAGAGTGACCTCCTTACAATTCTCAAATGCACAGGGCATGCTCCCTGCAGGCACCCACCTGGAGCCTGCCACCCCTTCCCAGACTTCCTCAGTGAAGACCCCACTGACAAATGCTGGTTTCACCTCCCCCCATACCTGCTTTCACCTGTCACAGGTATCCTGGTCCATTGTGGACTGTCCTCCACTAGATGCCAGTTCCCAAGGGCAGGGGACTGTATTTGGGGAATCTGAAACAGTTAGACTCAACAGTATCCAAAGCCTCAATCTTTATGTGTCCCCCATGCCCACCCATGGCTGCTGACCCTCCATCCAGCCTGATTCAAGTTCTCATCCCTACAGCCTTCCCTCGGCCCACACACTCAAGGAACCTGGCCCATGAGCTGGCAGAAACACGTGTCACAGGCACCCAACCTCTCTGCCCCCTCAAACACACTCCAGCAGCACACTATTCCCCAGAATCCAGGAACTATTCCCTCATTGCAGGTCTTCCATGCACAGGCAAAACTTAGGGAGGGGGCACATCAACCGAAACCTATCCTCTGAATGTGGAATTATATTGAGACCAAGCCTCTCCTTCTGGAAACACTTGTATTGCAGAATGTTCTCACCATTGAAAACACACAGCACCATATCCTGGAGAACCCATGCTACCTCCAGGACTGGCTGTGCAATGGGGTGGGAGAGTGGCATGCTTTCTTTTTAAAAAATTAAAGTGTAAAATAATCCCTAAAATGAAAAAAAGTGACTCAAACACCAGTGGGCCTCAGAGTGTGAGTGGGTTGGCTGGAGGCAGGATTTTCTAAAGGTAAACTGATTTGGAGGCCCCTAGCATCAGGTGGATTCTCCCACAGTAGGTTCATTTGCAGCAGGCCAGGTGCCTGGGGGTGGGGAAGAGCAGGCTGGAGGGACCACTGGAATGGAGACAGAAGAGCCCTGGCCAGCACATCTCTGGCAGACACAGAACCCAAATCCCTCCCAGGGCCTTGCCTGGGCCTCCTCTCTGCCACACCCTGGGAAGGGCACAGTGAGCCCAGCTGCAGTGGGAACATCCCAGGAAAGGGCAGGAAAGAGTGAGCAAAGGAGGGCTGTGCAGGCAGAGGCCCCATCTCAGGACACCAGGGTGAATGCTTGGGTTTTTTTAATAATCCTCACCTAAGGATATTTTTCCATTGATTTTTAGACAGAGTGCAAGGGAAGGGGGACAGAAAGAGAGAGATTGAGAGAAAAAAAAATTAGATGTCTCCTACATAGCCCCATAGGGGCAAGGATCAAATCTGCAGATTAAAACCACAGAGTCACAGTCTTTATTTCAAGGCCTTGAGCAGCAATGCAATATGACTAATATTGGTCAAGGAATTATTTTCTTGCATTATGCTATCCCTCCTAAAGCACAGAAAGTTTGGATCCACACAATATCTGTTAACTCTACATGATGATAGATCACAATTGTGCTTGAAAATCATCCCTGGAAATGAATATAACAAATTAAAGGTGCAAAAGAAAAAAAACACCTTTACTGAATGATCATAATCCAGAACAGAGGACAGCAAGCTGTTTGCAGGTTGGTGAATTAGAACCTGAAACAATTCATCACAGCATAATATGAGAACCACATGTCCCTGACAGAAGCAGCACTTCTTAGCTGAGGACGGGTGCCCTTGATGAACCCAGGTGCATTACCTCCTCAGAGATAAAGGAATGAAGATCCTGTCAAGAGCTGGAGTAATCATAATGTTCTCAAGAACAAGTGAGAACACAGAATACCTTTCCCCTGAGCACGCAGGGGTTGGGACTGATACACACTCTTCAGGTGAGCCAGGTGGTAGAGGGGAAATTGTTACAGATAACCGGAATAAATCAAGCAAAGCTCAGAGAGTTTGGAGTCACACTTTATTCACCGCAGTGGGCTTAGAGGAAATGAATTCAAATTCTAAGCAGAGCTACAAGCAGAACTTCCCTTTTCATTAAAAAGCCAGCCCTATGTGTGCTTAGTGGTTATCTTGCTGGTGGCCTTGAAAACATTACAGTTCTATCCAATTAAAAAATACACCTGGCATGGCATTGAGAGTATGGGTGTATCTAGTCTCTGGCCGACAAGGTCAGACAGCTAAGTTTATCTTCCTCATTATTCAAGCAGGCTAAAGCAGGCTAGAAAGCAAGGTTATTTTTTTTAGAATAAGAGACCATCTAAAGAATGGCAGAGAATTCCAAACAGTAGTTTTACAAAATAGGGTTTAGCTTTCTCAAAATCTCTTCAGCCTCAAATCAATCAGGTATTAGTTCTGGGCATCTTACCAAGTGCAATGCACCTCCGTCAAGCCTCACTTGTACCAGAAACTTAGGAGGAATCTAGCAGAGTGTATTTTCCATTAAAAAGGGGTTTAAATTCAGGAAAATAGGTCCCAAAGAGTCATCATCACTGTTGTTATTCTAAGTGAATAAAATAAAACATTCCCCACACATTTAAAACTTCTCTCCAGTGTGAACTCTCAGATGTTTAATAAGACTATTTTTTTGGGTAAAAGACTTCCCACATTCAGTACATTCATACGGCTTCCCTCCATTGTGAACTCTGAGGTGATCAGTGAGATGAGCCCTTCGACGAAAGGACATCCCACATTCTCTACACTCATATGGCTTCTCTCCAGTGTGAACAGTCTGGTGTTCAATGAGGTGATCCCTTTCACAAAAGGACATCCCACATTCTCTACACGCATACGGATTCTCTCCAGTGTGAACTCTGAGGTGTACAGTGAGGTGAGCCCTTAGACGAAAGGACATCCCACATTCTCTACACTCATATGGATATGGCTTCCCTCCAGTGTGAACTTTGAGGTGCCCAGTGAGGTGATACCTTCGAGGAAAGGACATCCCACATTCTCTACACTCATACAGCTTCTCTCCAGTGTGAACTCTGAGGTGTCTAGCGAGGTTAGCCCTTAGACAAAAGGACTTTCCACATTCTGTACACTCATATGGCTTCTCTCCAGTGTGAACTCTGAGGTGTACATTGAGGTGAGGCCTTTGACGAAAGGATATCCCACATTCTCTACACTTATATGGCCTTTCTCCTATGTGAACTTTGTTGTGTTGTTTGAGGGTAAACTCATAACTGAAAAACTTCCTACAATGTCTGCACTCATATGGCTTCCCTCCAGTGTGAACTCTCTGGTGTTTAATGAGTGCGGGTCTTTTTCTGAAGAACTTCCCACATTCATTACACCCATATCGCTTTTCTTCAGTGTGAACGCTCTTATGTCGAATGACGTTCAAGTTTCGTCTAAACACTTTCCTACATTTGCTACACTCATAAATCAGTTCCCCAGAACACACACCCTGGCAGTGAACAACTTTCAGGTTGTGGCTGGCAGCGTTTTCACATTCACCCCACTGGTGATGACTTCTTGCATCAAGCAATTCCTGTGAAATCTCACTGCCACAGTGGAGCTCCTCAGTGTTGAGAGTGGCCTGGTGCTGGGGAAGCTCTGAGTTATACTGCAAGTCTTCCCCAACCTCCCTGCTGGCTGAAGGCAGTGAAGTTAAGGAGAAGCTGCACCTGCTTACAAAGGAGGCCCTGTCCATAGCTTCTTTCCAGGGCTCCTCTCCACATTCATTCCTCTGTTGCTGGTGAGGGTTTGCACTGAAACAGAAGTCTCCAACACATACATCAGTACAGAAGGCTTTCTGCTCAAAGTATGCTGCATGTGACCCAGTCAGGTGCAAAATATCTTTTAACACAAAGAAACACCGCTTACACAGAGGAATCTTCTGGGTGGCTGGAGCTGTCTTAGAAGCCCTGACCTTTGACTCTCCTTGTATAGATAAACTCTGAATTGAACAGGCCTCCTCATCTTCCATTTTATGCCAACAACCTGAAAAGTGAGAAATGGTGAGGAAATGACTGTTGAATGTGTGACAGGGGGACTTCCCATTGCAAAAGTGTGTTACACATCACACCTTGGTCCCATGAAAATGTCTGAAAATAAGAGATGTGCAGGAAGGATTAATAAGAGACTCTCGTGACTTTCTGGGCTAATGAAGATCACAACACGGGGAGGCCTCACCAGAAATATGACACAAACATGGCAAGCACCACATGGAATAGAATATGGATCTCCAGCTAATACTTCAACTAACAGCATTTAGCATGGCTTGTCTGCTGGGGATCAGGGCGAGCTGTGCAAGAGGTTGGTTCTGCCTTACTCCAAGTAAAATTCAATAACGGAGTAGCTGGTTTTGAGCATGTATGTGCACTTCATAACTCATGTGCAAGAATAATGTTGTAGAATACTGCAGAGGCACTGACAGTGCAGAGGAACAGGTGATATAGAAATGAGCAGTCACCACTGGGCCAGAGCAATACAGCTTGCTATAGTATTCAGGGAAGAAAATATTACAAACATTCGAATGGGGGCCTTACAAGAAGAGCCAATGGTTCATGTAGGTAAAGACGATAACATGGCACAGGTTGCCACTAAGAAACTTTACCCAGAGAAGGAGTGCAGAAGTGGAAGCAATGCATGTGGACACTATCAGCCTCCCATGAAGAGAAAGTGCAAGCTGGGACCCATTAAGCTCACTGCAAGACTCCTGATTCCCTAACACTTTCTGCACTTTTTGAGGTTATGGGTGTTAGGGATGTTCATGGAGTCCTTTACTCAGGGCTCCCCATCCAGCTTATCCCTGGCAGTCACAGCACATTTGACAGGACAGTGGGGGACATTAGCAGAGGCCATATTCTGGCTGTGGGAGAGAGAAAGCTACGGCTGAGGAATAAGGGAAGAGAGGTCATCACCTCAGGACACTGGGAGAATGCGGAGGTCTTACCTAGAGATGATACAAGGGCAAACACTTCCAGCATCACATCGCAGTACAGACGTCTCTGAGCCTCATCAAGGAGCCCCCACTCCTCCTGAGAGAAGGCAATGGCCACGTCCTCAAAGTTCATATCCTGGCATAATGGGGACAGTACAGCCCATGATCAGATTCACTCCTTAGATTATAAGTCTGTCATAATCCCCACCCTCCACACCCATCTGCTCTTCACATCAGATTAAATACCAGGCCTTCATCCCATGAAAGCCACTGTCTTATTTTCCTGCTGATATTTTTCTTCCCACAACAATTAAGGCAGTTGAGCAGATAGAAGATACCTGAGTTCTGGACCTCCCATGTATGCCACACTGCCTCTTATCAATAGAGTGGGTGTCAAAAGCATAGGTTAGAGAGGGATGTTGGCCATAAAGAGAGTGTGAGTGATTTGATACTGGTCTTCTCAGGAAATAGCCTTATAGTCCCTCCGACTGTTCCTCTAAGACAGTGGTCGGCAAACTCATTAGTCAACAGAGCCAAATATCAACAGTACAACAATTGAAATTTCTTTTGAGAGCCGAATTTTTTAAACTTAAACTATATAGGTAGGTACATTGTTATTAACTTAATTAGGGTACTCCTAAGCTGGCCTCTGCTTGATTGAGGTACGTTCGCTGAGGTCGACACCTTCCAATTCTCCCATCCACACTCGTCTTGTATACTTGTTTCATTTATCTCAGTGGTCGGCAAACTCATTAGTCAACAGAGCCAACTATCAACAGTACTTCTTCAAAATAGACTCGCCCAGGCCAAAAACCGACTTCTGGGCATGGGCCATGAAGTTTCAATCACACTGTACATGCGCGCCCCCACGTGGTATTTTGTGGAAGAGCCACATTCAAGGGGCAAAGAGCCGAATGTGGCTCTCGAGCCACAGTTTACTGACCACAGCTCTAAGACACCAAAAATGTGGCATCACAATCCACCCTCTTGACCCTAATCCAGGGGTGGGCAAACTTTTTGACTCGAGGGCCACAATGGGTTCTTAAACTGGACCGGAAGGCCGGAACAAAAGCATGGATGGAGTGTTTGTGTGAACTAATATAAATTCAAAGTAAACATCATTACATAAGAGGGTACGGTCTTTTTTTTTTTTTTAGTTTTATTCATTTCAAACTGGCCGGATCCGGCCCGTGGGCCATAGTTTGCCCACGGCTGCCCTAATCCCAAGGTGCTGAGGCCATCACTTTTCACAATCTGCTGCACATAGTTCTTTGAACAACTTCTCTCACACAGCTTCATTCCCAGAGGCACAACTTTAAACGTACTGCAAACATGCGGAGGCGTGGATGAATTTTATCCTAATCACCTTCTTTTCCAAAATTATAGTTCACCACCTCCATAATCTCGTTCTCTCTTACCTTTCTTCCTTACCCATGCCAGTGGAGATTTACAAGCCTGGGTAACACTGATGAATGCTACCTCATTCCCACCAACCAGTGTGTCACTCCCAACAACAAAAGGCAGGTGGTTAGTTAAAGAGCACCTAAGCTCTTACCCTAGAATGTAGCACACCCCTCCTCTTTACAGGCAATTATCCTAAAATTCACTTTCTTGTTACATCCAGGCATCACCAGAAATACACTCTTCCTTCATTCACTCTCATGTCAATGTCATGGTGCTGTGGCCATGAATCCACATTCCCTCTCCAAGTGCACATCACTCTTTATACCACACCTCTCTCAAGCCTGCACTCCCACAGCCCCAGCCCCCAAACTCACCTCCCGGCCTTTACTTATTACTCAGCATGTGTGCTACAGAGGAGGGTTGCCAGATTGAAACAGGATCAAGCACTGGCCAGACTCTGATAGTCCTCACTCACAGAGGCAGTCTTGAGTCCTGCTATGTAGGCCTCGCTCCATGACTGTTTTTTTTCTTCAACCTCAACTATTAAGAACAACAATCAGATCTCAGATATCCATAGCCCATCTCCTGCTACGTTGCACTTGATTTCCCTTCACTAGTCACAGCCAACATCTCTCCCTTAACCTTCACTCAAGTCCCAGCCCTGATGGCCCTCTGCAGCATGCCCAGTGAGTCTCACAGATGACCACTCAAGCCTCTTAGCTAATGTACAAGACTGACTGCAACTCCCCACAGCCAGGACACACCAAGGGTCACAACAAAATCCTGGTGAGAGTTTAGAAATGTTATGTACCAGCCCTAGTCTCATGTTTGAATTACTCTTTGGTCTCCATTTAATCTCAGGTCCACTCATCCTTTAAAGGCCTTCACCACTGCAAAACGATTATCTCTCCCCCACACTCTACATGAAAACTTCTGTCCCTATGCTATGTTGTGACAGCCACCTCCCACAAACAGTGGCCCAGGAAGAAAGGCAGTCCTGAGAAACCAAGATGGCGGCATAGGTAAACACCGGAAATTGCTGTCTCACACAACCAATTCAAAACTACAACTAAAAGATAAAACAGACATCATCCAGAACCACAGGAAGGCTGGCTGAGTGGAAATTCTACAACTAGAAGGAAAGAGAAAAGCATACCGAGACTCAGAGGAGGTGCGGAAGTAAAGTGCAGATGTATGGAGGCACATGTGGAAAGGGCTGGCGGCTGAGGACACGGTTGTCTTTTTCAATCGGGAGGGAGCCTCGAGCTCCTGACTGCTCTGAACTCCAGTTCCGGGTGAGTCTCTGGGGACCCAGACTCATACGGGGAGAGACAGACTGTCTGGAATCGGTCGGACTTCGAGGGCGGCTTTCTCTCAGATGTGCTTGCAGTGATTACTGGAACACTGAGAAGCAGGGCCTCTTAGGACAGGACTGAGGAGCAGCCATAGCTGCTTGCTCCACCCTTTTGATCCCCTGAGACCCCGCCTCGCCCAAGCTCTGCACCAGCTTTTGCATATGAAAGGCCTGGCCCTTTGCAATCTGAAAATTACATAACCAACTGCAGCTTACATTCCTGTACAGCTGAGCTCCTGCTAGGTAGCCTCAGGCAGAGGCTAAATTAGCACCTCCTTAGAGATCCAAGAGCCAGTGTAACCAGTGGTCAGAAATGGGACCATCCAGATTACAACTCCTCAGATCCATAAGGGACACACTCAGGGAGCAGACTCAGTGAGCACCAAAGCCCCACTGAAGCAAGTCTTGCCCCAGAAGGGTGTCTCCAGCACAGAAGTTCTCCCACTGCAGACACAGCTGATTCTCACAGACAATTGGCCTGGAGGTCAATTCCTCCCAGTGATACCTACAACAATCAAGGCTTAACTACAACAAGACTGTGCACAAAGCTCACAAAGGGGTGCACCAAGAGTGTCCACCTCAGATAATTGGGGAGGCTGAGCCACTGTGCGCTATAGGACACCTAGCACAGAAAGCCACTCTATCAACACAGGGAAGCATAAAAAATGCAGAGACAAAGAAACAGGTCACAAATGACAGAAATGGAGGAAAGCAAACTACTGGATATAGAGTTCAAAACCACACTTCTAAGGTTTTTCAAGAACTTTCTAGAAACCGTCGATAAATTTAGTAAGACCCTCAAGAAATCTAGTGAAACCGCCGATAAATTTAATGAGATCCTCAATAAGTCTAGTGAGACCCCTCAGGGTTGTGAAAAAGGACCAACTATAAATTAAGCACACATTGACCGAAATAAAGAATATTATACAGACTTCCAACTGCAGACTAGAGGATCGCAAGAATCAAGTCAAAGATTTGAAATACGAAGAAGCAAAAAATATCCAATCAGAAAAGGAAAAAGAAAAAATAATCCAAAAATATGAAGATAGTGTAAGGAGCCTCTGGGACAACTTCAAGCATACCAACATCCGAATTATAGGGGTGCCAGAAGAAGAGAGAGACCAAGATATTGAAAACCTATTTGAAGAAATAATGACAGAAAACTTCCCCCACCTGGTGAAAGAAATAGACTTACAAGTCCAGGAAGCGCAGAGAACCCCAAACAAAAGGAATCCAAAGAGGACCACACCAAGACACATCATAATTAAAATGCCAAGAGCAAAAGACAAAGAGAGAATCCTAAAAGCAGCAAGAGAAAAAAAGTCAGTTACCTACAAGGGAGTACCCATAGGACTCTTAGCTGATTTCTCAACAGAAACTTTGCAGGCCAGAAGGGAGTGGCAAGAAATATTCAAAGTGATGAATGCCATGAACCTACAACCAAGATTACTTTATCCAGCAAAGCTATCATTCAGAATTGAAGGTCAGATAAAGAGCTTCACAGATAAGGAAAAGTTAAAGGAGTTCATCACCACCAAACCAGTATTAAATGAAATGCTGAAAGGTATCCTTTAAGAAGGGGAAGAAGAAGAAAAAGGTACAGATACAAATTATGAACAACAAATACACATCTACCAACAAGTGAATCTAAAAATCAAGTGAATAAATAATCTGATGAACAGAAAAGAAAAAAAAATAAAGAAAGCCAGTCCTCATGCTCACACTGTCCTTTCTGACCTACCAACCTGCCCATGATTCCCTGTATTAAAGTGATGTACAGTTCTGGATGATGTGTCTCAGTTGATTCAGCATAGACCCATGCACTGGTGAGGTCACATCCCTGGGTGATGGGCTAGATCAACAGTAGAGATTGTGCAAGTGGCAACCAATCCTTGTTTTTTGTTCATCCCTATTTCCCTCTCTCTCTTCCTCTCCCTTCCTTTCTACATTGAATATCAATAAAAATATACATGTATTTTGAAAAATATACCTGCAGGTTCCTGAATCAGCTCACTCTTCACTGCTTGCCTTTGCACATTCTGGACCCTATGTCTGGAGGACCTCGCACTCATTACGCTGGTTGCCAGGAACAAGGTCCACGTCATGAAGCCCTACTCCTGGCCTCAGATGTCAGGGCTTAGTGTCTGTTCAAAGTCCGCAGGTCCAAGGGCTACAAGAGCGGCTGACAATCCCAGGACTGTACAATCTCAGAGGTCACAAGTTCCACAAACCCGTACACCTAATCGATTCTGCATTTGCAGGATTTTGTGGAAAGAAAATGGTCTGTTGAGAGCCGAGCAACCACCAGGCTCTATGGGCTCAGGCTGCTCAGTGCCCTTGCCCAGCCGAGTCCAGGTGCCCTCCAGATGCCTGTGTTATCTCAGGGCTCAGTCCTCAGGGCTCACTCTGCCAGTTCCCTTATCATTTACAGGACTTCCCCTTCCTGTCCACAGCTGCTGTCCTCTGTCTTCTAGTCTGTCCTTCCTCTGAGCAATGTCAGGAAAAATTAGAATCCTGCATCAGAAAATGTCCCTCCTTTTTTCACAACCATCTATGCTCCCAGCGTTCTGAGAGTGAAAGTAAAACTCCTCGTGCAAAACCACACCTCATCTCTTTGTTGCCTTTACACCCAAAACAGGCCCGGGTTTCCGAGTCCTCCCTGCGCAGTCGCACCATCACGTCCTTACAAGGCGGCCCTGCAGCCTTTCACCCTCTTCCCCCATCAGCCCTGTGTCACCCACGAGGGACTCACCATTCTGAGCGCTGGGACCTGGGCGGCGGGACCTGAGGGCCGGTCCCCAAGGCTGGAGGGTGAAATGGGGTCCGGCTGCGGGGACGCTGTGAGCAGGGAGGAGTCCGGGGGTCACGGGGACCCCAATCTCGGGCTGTTGGGCTCAAGGAGCCTCAGACACACCCCGCACGGCAGGCGCGCTGCCTCCCAGGCCGCCTCCTCCTCACGACCAGCGCCCTGAAGCCTGGGAGTCTGTGAACAAAGACCTAAAAAGCTAAAATGACCACCGGGAGGTGGAAGACGGAAGTCCCGCCCAAGCCGGATGCGCAGACACCAAAATGTCCTTTAGCCCCGCCCACATGAGTGCAGTTCCTTCTGGGTAATGTAGTTTTCTCAACCGCCCAGGACAGTGCTATCATCCCAGCCACTGACTTAGGTGAATAAAGGTGATGTGGCATAGAGAGTGACGCCTGGGGAGGGAATAGGTGGGACCAGAGGCCTGGCTGACTGGAGCAGACTAACAGATCTCTGAGGGGAAGAAGGTGGGAGAAATGCAAGAGATCCACCAAAGAATATACACAGAGGGGGGAAATGAGAGACATCGATAATACTATCACCAATAAAAAATACATGTACTTTTCATAAACTTTAAAATAATGTAGCCCAGCTGGTGTAGCTCAGTGGCTGAGCCTCGACCTATGAACCAGAAAGTTATGGTTTTTTTCATTTTATTTTTATTTTTTAAATTATTTACTGTTTAAAGTATTACATATACTATTACATATAACTCCTTTTTCTGCCCAGCCACCCCCATATCTCAGCACATGCCCTTTCCCTCCATAGTGTCTGTGTCCATTGGTTATACTTATGTGAATGCATATAGGTCCTTTGGTTGATCCCTTAACCCCTCCCTCCCCTGACTTCCCTCTGAAGTTTGACAGTCTGTTTGACACTTATGTTTCTGGATCTATTTTTGGTCATCAATTTATGCTGTGATTATATTCTACAAATGATGAGGTCATGTGATACTGTTTCTTTTTCTATTCAGGGCGCATACATGGACTGCAGGCTCAATTCCCTTTGTGGGGGTGGAGTCATGCATGAGGCAACTAATCAGCAATTCTCTCTCATCATTGATGTTATTATCCCTCCTTCTCCCTTCCACTCTCTAAAATCAACAAAAATATTTTAAACAAAGTATATACATATATACATAGGCCATGGACATAGACAATAATGTGTTGAGGGACTAGAAGCAGAGGGGGCAGGGTAGAGGGAGAAAAGCTGGGTGGGAGGAGTATGGCAGAAATTGGGAACATCTGTAATAGAGTCAGCAATCCTATATAATAAAGAGCTAATATGCAAATGGTCATCATGCCCTCGAGCCCATGTGCCCTTGCGCCAGGGCCAGGGGACCTGAGGCCATGCTGCCTGCCTTGGCAGCAGGACTGGGGGAACTGAGGCTGGGCCAGGTAACCTGAGGCCATGCCCATTGCCCCGGCACTGGGGCCGGGGCCATGGGACCTGAGGACACGCTGTGGGACCTGAGACCATCACCATCCCCCACCCCAGTTCCGGGGCCAGGGAACCTGAGGCCACAATCCCTGCCCTCCTGGTCTTGATGGGGGTGGGACCAGCTGGGTCTGGGTCTCGCGTGATTACGAGGTGTGCATGGGTGAATGCGGACTTGACTCTGGGTCCCACAGCCCACCCCAGACTCTGACAGGAGGGGGATTTTCATAAACATTTTACTGTTTCTCTTTCATCTCTGACACATCTATGATAGAGAAAGGGCAAATAGCAATATTAAAATATTTCCTCCAATTAATTCCCTTTTAATGTGCATGAATTTTGTGCACCTGGGCCACTAGTCTATTCATATAAAAAGGCAGCTACCATAACAACCATAACGATCTAACAACTGGTCACTATGATGCCCACTGTGGCCAGCAAACTGGCCTGATCAGGGGGTGGGGCTGGTGGCCAAACTTGTGGCCCCTCCCCCTGCCAGCCTGCCCCTTATCCTGAGCAGGGCGTGCCAGCCAAATGACTTCTCCCTCCCCCCCACACCCCCCCCACCCAGGCCAGCTGCAACCCCAGCCCCTCCCTGCAGCTAGCCCGCCCCTGAGAACACCCTCCCAACCCAATAGGGGATGGGACTTGGCAGGCAACCTCCTGCAGCTCCTCCCCCTATCCAGCCCCACCCATGATTGCCCCTCCACCTCAATAGGGGGTGGGGCTGCCTGGCCAATGTCCTGTAGCCCCTCCCCCCTGCCAGCAATGCCCCCGATGGGCCCCCACCACCCTCATCAGCCCACAGCCCCTCTCCTTGGCCAGCCCCAATCCTGATCACCACCACACCTCAATAGGGAGCAGGGATGTATGGCCAACCTCCTAAAGCCCCCACCCCCGGCCAGCCCCACTTATGATCCCCCCAAACCAAATACGGGGTGGGGCTGGCTGGCCAATCTCCTGCAACCCCTCCCCCCACTTGGCCCCATCCCAAATCGGCTTCTCCACCCCAATCAGGGACAGGGCTGGCCAGCCAACCACCTATGGCCCTTCCACCAAACCGATGGCCCTGATTGGCACCCCTCACTCACCCCATTTGGGGGCGGGGCCAGCAGGCCCACTGCCAACAGCCCCTCCCCAAGGCCTGCCCAGCCCCCAATAGGCCCTGCAACAAGAATCAGGGGCAAGGCACATGGCCAATTGCCCAAGGCCCCTTCACTCGGTTGGCCCAGCCCTGATTGGGGGCCCTGATGGGGCCCTGAACCAGGCATTCTGGCCAGCAACCTCCCACCATCTCCTCCTCTTGACAGGCCCAGCCCCGATCTGCCCTGATTGGGGCCAGGCCGGCCAGACCCCACCCATGCACTAATTTGTGCACTGGGCCTCTAGAAAAAATAATAGTGTGTACAGCTGGTTGGGCTCAGTGTTTGGGCATGTACCCATCAACCATCATATCAATGTTTCAATTCCAGGTCAAGGCACATACCCAGGTTGGGGGCGCTATCCCAGTAGGGGGAATTCTGGAGGCAGCTGGTCAATGATTCTCTCTCATCATTGATGTTTCTTCCTTCCCTTTCTCTCTAAGAAATGAATAAAGACATTTAAAAAATGAACTGTGTTAAGATTGATTTGACTCAACAACAACAAAGTGATTGTGGGTCATCACGTTATCTTCCAAGTCTTGTAAGCACAATCATGCCTTCTGTCTTCATACGGGATGTCCCAGGCACAATTTGTAGGGAACAGGAGCCAGCCTGGAGCTGGTCTGCCTCAGCTTGGCCTATAGTGTTTGAGTTCTTGACTTTATGCAGAAAAGATTTCACAACAGGAGTTCAGAGATTTTGAGGAACATTTATTAAAGATGGGGATAATGAAAAATATCAAGGGCTTAGGACAGTACAAGGAACAGCAGAGAGACTAGGTGGGGCTCCTATGGCTCTCTAGAAACACCACTGTGAGCTCACTGGAGAATCAGAGAAAAGAAGGCCTTGAGCACAGGTTCAGAGGGTTAGCCCGGGATGGGCTGTCGCTGCTCATTGCTGCCTCCGTTGCAGGTTGAATGGGATCCCTTAAGCTTAGGAGAGCCTGGCCGGTGTGTTTCAGTGGTTGAGTAATAATGACCTATGAACCTGGAGGTCATGGTTGTATTCCCAGCCAGGATACATGCTCAGGTGGTGGGCTGGGTCCTCATTGTGAGGCATGCAGGAGGCAGCCTATCAGTGATTCTCTCTCATCATTGATGTTTCTATCCCTCACTCATCCCTTCCTCTCTGAAATAAATAAATATAATTTTGAATGTATGTTTTAAATCAATTATACTTACATCAAAGTTTAAAAAATGATTAAAACTTGCCACTTCAAAGGAGACATATGTAATACTTTTTGTAATACTTTAAGCAATAAAACAATTAAAAAAAACACAAAAACAAACTTGCCACTTCCCAATTATTTTACTATTTCATTATGAAAGTTCTTGAGCTTGTTTGTACCTACTGTATCAATATGTTGTGAATAAAATATAATAATATACTACTGAAATATCTCATCAGCCCATATTCAGTGCTATCACTTTTGAAGTCTGAAAGTGATGATGATGAGAGTATTTACACCAGAAAAAAATGGACAAATACTACAAACCTTGACGTCACTTAATATACTATATTGAATGCTTCAACTTAAAGTGAATGGTGGAGAATGTTAGCAACTTAGGTTAATCTTATAAATGTATCCTGCAAGTGGGCTTTAAATTGTACATAGGATACAATTTGAGAAAAACGATTTTCTTCTGAGTTTTATGGTTCCAAATGGCAAAGAAAGAAGTTGAGTCCTTGAGGAATGAGTGAGTTACAAACAGATGACTTAGATGGTGAAATGACTTCCTATTGATTAAATCATAAATTCACTTTAAGAATTGGCAAAAGTTTCTGACCAGACTTTTCAGCTAAGGAGATAAAGACAGTGTAAATATTGCATAAGGAAATGCTCACCATCAAAATTTCTTAGGGAAATGGGGTGCCCGACCCCACCCCTGGCCCCTGACTCGGGACCCCCTCCCCTCCCGGGATCCCCTGGGATTCCCCACCCCTCCAGCACTGCCGGGGATCCGGCCGGCCTGGCGCGAGTCCCTGCCCGGGAGCGGAGCGGGGGAGGGGGGGGGGGCCGGGTCGGAGGAGCCCGGAGCCCGCCCTAGGAGCCTTAGCCCAGCGGAACAGTGACTGTAGTCGGGAGATCTCTGGCTTCCTGCTGCTCCTTGCACTTTCCAGGATCCATTCTTATGATTCTCAATGGAGAATGAAAACATAGATTCATAATGAAAACCAGCCCCCATCGGCCACTGATTCTCAAAAGACGGAGGCTGCCCTTACCTGTTCAAAATGCCCCAGGTGAAACATCAGAGGAGGAGCCTAAACGGCTCCCTGCCCAACAAGAGCCTGGTCAAGCACAGGCCTCCAATGAGGTGGCAGAGTCCACCTCTTGCAAGTTTCCGGTT